TTCCCTCCCCCCTGCCTTCCCTCCCCTCTGTCTTCCCCCCTTCAAAATGACAGAACCCAGAGCCCAGTCCCTCAAGTCTCCACCATCAGCAGACTTGCTCTGCCATACCTCGACCTCTCCTGTGTGTCCTCCTGCCTCAGCCCAGGTCAGTCCTCCAGCCCGAACCACACAGGATCCCCCAGGGTCTCAAGTGCATCCCCTGACACCCCGGGGTTCTCCACAAGCAGCTGAGGGTCCCTTCACCCTCCAGTCATGAAAATCCACCGGTGGAGCCCAAGAGGCCGGAAGCCCAGCCCTGAAGTTCCTGCCTCCCATCTCATCCCCAACCTCCCTACTTCACTGCTGGGCCATGCTAACGTGTCTTTACAAGGTGTGATCAAAAATATGGTGAATGCCAATGCCACTCAACGGAAGGGCAGACTTTGAAAATACGTAATTGTGTGTCCTCATCCACCACGTCTGGCACCACGCAACTTCTGGCTTTCGCAAAGAAATGACCGTGAAAGGGAAATATTTGGAATCAATTCAGGACATCGAGGCAGCCACAGCATAACTAAAGAGGCTCAGGAAACACCACTTCCGGAAGAGCCTCACAAAGCGGCGAGAGGTGGGATGAGTGTGTCTGCAGCACGGGGAGGCTCTTGAGGGGTGTTCACAACAGTGGAGAAGCAAAACACTCCTGTGTCTTTCAATCACGCTGCGTAGTTGCAGGTAACAAGGCCCCCAGGCTGGAGCCTGATCTTCCTTTCTAAACTGTTAACTTGCTCCCGTTGGGTTAAAGGCAGCGAGGACCTCGTGACCATGAGAGGTGGACGCTGGTGGGTCCCAGCGTGTGGTGGCAAAGGTGTCCCAGCCACCCCTCAGCTCTAAGCGCCAGGTAAAGCCCCAGGGTGGCAGCTGGGCTGGGTGGGAGCTGTCGTATGCAAAATAGCGTGGACAGTGCAGGGCCTGCGTGGGAGGCTGGCCCTGTATCACCAGAGAGTTTAGCTCCAGGAAAGAGCTGTCCCAGGCCCTCGCGTCCTCACTGCCAGGCATCTTAGGGACCGGCTTTACCATGCCCTGAAGGCAGCTCTTCTCTCAGGTCTGCAGGGCCGGAGGTAGCCGAACAGCAGGCCCAGGAGCGAAGATGACTCGGACCCGTCCAATTCACCAAGCCGCGTGCACGTGCCGGGCAGGCTTCCTTTAGGGAAGAGACCTGGAAAGTGGGGTAGGCCCCAGCTGGGAAGTCTCAGCACCCCAAGTACCGGGGGGCCCTGTCCGGGTCGGGCAGGAAAGGCTGCCCTGCTGGGGAAACTGCAGTGAGCCCTCCCAAGTGTCCACCTTGCAAGACGGGAAAGACATAGACATCTGGCCAGCGGCAGACGGCCCAGAGAGGGCCAGCAGAAAGCCATGCTGAGAGGAGAGGACTGATAACGTTCTCCTCCCTCCTTCCTTTGCTTTCTTCTCCCTTACAGTCCTGGGGATCAAACCCAGGGAAGCTATAACCTAGCCCTTTTTTAAATTTCTTATTTTGAGATAGGGTCTCACTCGGCTGTCAAGCTGGCCTCAAACTGGCAATCCTTCTGCTTCAGCCTTCCGAGTGGCTGAGATCACAGTCGGCTGCTTCGAGCTCTGCAGACTTTTGCTAAGTTGTGTTAGCGAATTCATGGAAAATATGTGGGGGACGGAAGGAGGCTGGGGTGGATCTGAGGGTGGGTGGTGCTGGGGCTGCCTTGGGTGACAGCCAGTGCTCCGACACCCAACACTGGCGGAAACTCTGGTGGATCCTCCATGGCAGGAACCAAAGCTGGGGGCTGCTGCAGCTGTCCTGGAAGCAGGGCCTACAGCTCAGCCACTGGTGACCCCTGGAGACCCAGGAGGTCCAAAGAGGAAGCGTGTGAGCCTGGACAGAGTCAGAGTCGCAGTTCAGGCCCCAGGGCTGTGGCTACAGCTGTCTCTTCTCCTTTCCCTTGGGTCCTGGGGCAGGCTGGGTCCCTGCCCATACTGTGGTGTGAGTGTGACTTCCCAGGACACATGTATTGGAGATTTAACCTCCAAATTCATGCTAGTGGCTACTGGAGGTGGGGTATTGGGGAGGGGATAGGGATGCACTGAGGTCCTGAGGATGGGGCCCCATGATTGGCTGTATAAGAGGAAGGGAGCCCCAAGGTCACCCACTTGCTGTGTCTCACCATGTGACCCCCTCCACTGTGCCATGATGCAGCAGGGAGGGCCTCACCAGACATCCAGCAGATGCCAGCATCTGCTCTTAGATTCCCAGTCTCCAGAACCACAGGTCAAATAAACCTGTACTCTCTATTAAAGTACTTAGGTTTGGGTATTTCATTATAGCAATAGAAGACTGACTAAGACAGGTTCCAAACAACCATGGAGTTACCCATCAGACAGTGATTTTCATGGGATCAGTCCATCTATAAAGCCAGGTATGTCCACTGTCAATGGGAAGAAATACACATGGGGTTAGACTCAAGCAGGCCCTAATGCCACGGATGGATTACCTGAGCAGCAGGCTGCCATCTCTCCCTCATCCAAGAACAATGACTTCATGGGAAATTCCTAGACTCTATTAACTGAAGAGGAAAGAGAGCAGCTTGTTCCCACTTGGCCTCCATGCTCTGCAGGCAAGGGCTAGAGGTGGACGCTGCTGGGTGATGGTGTCTCTCAGGCTCAGCCCTAGGTGGAAAGCACCTTGGGCTCTGCCAGCTAAGAGGTTTCAGTGCCCAAGAGGGGAGTATTCCACCTGGCCACAATGTCCTAATGCCACTGAAGCAAAAAAATATCAGATCATATTGGATGGGGATTTTAAGCTTGATTCTCTGAAATAAGAAGGGCTGCTGGGACTCAGGCAGGGTATAGGCAGTCTGGAACCTAGCAGAGCCCTCTGCACCTCCAGAACTGCTGTGTCACGTGGAGTCCATTTCCTGCCGGAAGTCCACAGCCCCCTCCTGGCAGCAGGAAGTGCTGCTTAGAGCACTCAGGCAGAAAGGCTTAGGGTGTCCACAAGGAAGTGGTGTTTGGCTGAGGTGGGGAGAGATACATTGTGAAAAGCAGAGAAGGAAAGTTACAAATACAACTGCAGGTTCATGAGCAGAAACACAGGCTGTAGTAACTACACAGATCATGGGCCTTGCTGTTACCTACACACACGTGACTTATGGCTGGATGATCACTGCACATGTGTAAGCACAGCTATACACAAGCCTCCGTGCACACACACACACACACACACACACACACACCAACATGTGAGCATGTCTCTCAAGTCAAGATTTTTCTGGCAATGGTCTTGACTTTTAATACCCAAACCTACAGAATGTTTATGCCTGTGTGGGTCTCAATACAACGCAACACAATGTTTTTTAACCCAAACTTTATTTAGGAAACACTTGAATTATATTTGCATCCCAAAATCTCATTGCAAGTTTTCCCCTGAAGTTTTTTCTGTTTTTTCCTACATCTGCTTTCTCTTTCACTCTTTTTCCGAGCCTTTTAAAAGTAATTTGAAGGGGCAGGGGATGTAACTCAGTGGTAAAGTGCTTGCTTCACAGGCATGGGGGCCTAGGTTCAATCCCCTTTACAGCAAAGAAATAAAAATAATCTGTAGGGATGAATGAACAAAATGCATTCTATTCATACAGTGGAATATTACTGTACCTTAAAAGGAAAGGAATTCTGAAGCATGGTACAGCATGGATGAACCCTGAGGACTTTATGTCAGTAAAATAAGCCTGTAGGATTCCATTTCTACAGGGCATTAATAATCAAACCCAGAGAGAGAAGGTCGAACAGTGGATCCAGGGCAGGGACAGTGCAGAATGGGGATTTACTGTTTAATGGACAGAGTTTCTGTTTTGCCAGATGGAAAGAGTTCTGGAGACTGGTTGCACAAAATGTGACTGTACCCAGCCCTACTGAATTATAATTTTTTAAAGGACTAAAATGCTAAGCTGTGTTTCTTGTATACTTTATAATTTTTTAAAATTTAGCAAAGAAATAAATGGCAAGGGCAATATCATTTTACCTCTAAATACTTCAGAATATGCCTCCTAAGAATAAGGACACTCTCCTACAAAACACAGCTCCAAATAAAAGGGAGAGGCGGTGAAGATGTAGCTCAATGGCACCATGCCTGCCTGGCAAGCCCAAGGTCCTGAGTTCAAACCCCAGGACCAAAAAAAAAAAAAAAAAAAAACCAAAGAAACAGATCTCTATTATGATACCTAGGAAAATTGGCATCAATGTAGTATGTAATATTTCATTCATATTCAAATTTCCCCAAGTGCTCAAACAATGTCTTTTATCACTGTGTGTTCGTGTGTGTGTGTGTGTGTGTGTGTGTGTGACTCCAAGAGCCAACCAGGGACCACATATCACATGTGATTCCGTGACTGCATTTGGCAGCTGGAGGTCCATCGAGCCTTCCCAGAAGTCTTTCGTGACATTAAAATTCTTAAAGTATCCAGGCCAGTTTCCCATATCGCCCATCATCTCTGGCGTTTCTTGGTCTGATTCTATTGACTGTTTTTCCTCTTGGTGATAGGTCACTTGTTTTTCCAGGAATTTTTTTTTTTTTATTGGCTGTCAGAGAGGATACTTTTACATTGTTGAATGCTGAGATTTGTTGTGTTCCTTTGAATAGTGTTAAAATGCCCCTGGCAGGCAGTTAATTGTGGACTACTTTGGTTCTTCTGATGCTGGTTTTTAACTTTGACCTTGAACTCTAGGACCTTAAACTCTGTGTCCCCTCAAATCAGTGAGCTCATGTAGCTGTGTCTGGGCCTCCATTCCCTACACTGCAGTGCAGAGGTTCTGCCCAGGTAAGGTTAGGGGACCCCCACTTGTCCCCTTCTTTGTGGGGATCACAGACCTGAGGTCTGGTGTCCCCAACATCTGTTTCTTGTATTTTATTGAGCCTCCCAGTTATTTCTGCAGGAAAGTGTGCTCCATAACTGAAAAATTCTTTCCCCATAAATATTTATTGATCACAAGGAAGAGTTACATTTTTAGTGCATCTTAACTAAGTAATCAAAATCAACATTATAAGATGTAGGACGAATCAACACAGATTGTCTCCTGATCATCAGATGCTGAAAAGAAAAAACTACATCAGCCACCATTTCATAACCTGAATCTGGAGAAAAATATTAGACAAATCCAAGCTGAGAGACAGTCTAAAAAAAAAAATCGGCTCGACTCTTCAAGCAGCCGAGGCTATGAAATGTCAGCACTGCCAAAGGACCACTAATTGCAATGCACGCCTTGTATTTGATGTGGGTACAAAGGACATTACTGGGACAAGTAGCAAAGTAGAATTAAAATCTACAGGGTAGAAAATGCCACTGCATCAGGTCATTCCCCAATGATCGCAGTTGTACTGAGATCACAGAAGAGGACAGACAGCTCTGCTCCTAGGAAACAAAAACTAATGTAAAAGGTGTGCAACGTGGGTAACTTACAAAGATTCAGGAAAGCTGTGCGTGTGCAAAGACAGAGAGAGACACGTTTATGCTGTATGACGAGAGAAGAAGACAGAGAGACAGATAAGAAGACAGAACCAGACACAGTGGTTCCTCAGTTCACAGACTCCGTTCTCTCCATGATTCTGGTTGCAAATAGAACTGGATGCGAACCAAACCAAATTTCTCCAAGGTCAACACTGAACCAGATCATTGACTTGGATTTGGTTCTTGTCCAACTCACTTTGCAACCAGAATCATAGAGAGAATCCAGTTTGTGAACCAAGGCACCACTCTACAAAATAAAGAGGAGTTTAAAGCAGGGGCAAAGAGCTGCTAATACCATAGATATCCTGTATTCGCGGGAGCTCTACTATTCCCGCAACTTTTCTGCACATTTGACATGATGTAGAAACAACACATCAGCTAAACACACACCTGTAACCCCAGCTGGAGGATCACAAGTTCAAGCCCAGGCTGGGCAACTTACTTAGTGAGGCTGTGTCTTAAAACATTTTTAATTTTTTAAAGGTCTGCAGGTATAGCTTAGTGCAAAGGTCCTGGGTTCAACCCTCAGTACTGCTAATAAATAAGAAAATAAAATGTGAGGCAAAAAGAGGCTCTCCCTCTCATCGTCATTAAAATGCACTGACCTGTTCTTCAATTCCCTGCTGTACTCAGCTGCTCCTTCCCACGCTCTGATCCTCCCAGCCACCAACGCCCTGAGCTGACACGCCCATGACCAGCTCCCCAGGCCGCCTCATCGGTGTCCCCTGCTCCTTGTACCAGTGTCTACCTCTGCCCCACGTCCCCTCCAGGTCCTTGTTCCTTGCTGGCCCAGCTTGGTGAACACTCGCTGAATGCCTGAGGCTCCTACCTGGGGGCTCCTGGGATCCCCCCACTCCATTGATAATGATGCTGATTTATTGAATCAATCAAGACCAGTATGAGTTTCCACTGAAAACCCAAGCTTCCCAGCCCCAAGATGCCGTCCTCTAGGAAGAACAGCGGGTCCTGCTGAGCTGGCTCCTGCCTGAGAGGGTCAGACGACCTGACTGCCGAAAGTCCCTTCCTTGTTTAAGTTCTCAGATTCTGCTGATTCTGCCAGAGCAGAGGGTAGTGGCCATGTGAGGTCACAGTTCCCCCAAGGCAGGTCGTAATGGGGGTCCGCCCAGAAGAATAGGACAGAGACTTTTACAAAGACAAAGAACCAGAGCAGGCCTGGGCAGCGTCTGCTCCTCAGCCCTGGGATACCCTGGGCTCCTGCTCCTCCTCCCAGCTGGCCTTTCGTCACCTGCTCCAAGGTATGGCTGTGCCTGTACAACAGGTCCAACAGTGCCCCAGCTGTGCACTCGCCACTGCAGATCACAGGAGTCCCCCTGCGAGTTCCAAGGGTGAGGGCTCAGGGCAGGGGCCAGTTCTGCCCCTTGTCACTTGCTGTCCTAGGCACAGATGAAGCAAGCCTTGGGCACACACCTGGGAACAGGACCAATCGAAGTCCCTGGGGGGTCATGCACCATGGCTGTCCTCAAAGAAGTGGCAGCCAGGAAGACGACGTTTTATCTCCGTCATTATTAACAGACAGCTCCTACCCAGGGAAAGGTGTTGAGGCAGGCTGGCCCTGAGCTGTCTTTTGAGAGCAGGGTTCCCAGCCTAGGCTCTACGGACACTTGGGGGATGGATAGGCCTGGCTGTCTGCTAGGCCAGAGTCCACCCTCCCTGGGCACTGCCATCCCAGGCTGTCTGCAGTTATTGCCACACCCTCCCCAAGGGCGGAGGGCTGGGGGTCACTAGCTTGGGTGGCATGGATTTGGCCCTCAGAGCCCTGAGCTGGAAGACATGGGTTCTTCGAGTCACACAGTGACAAAGCTGGGTTCAAATCCAAGCCTTTGTCAGAAGCCTGGTTTCTTTCCAGACACAGCTTGCCATCTTTAGTTGGTTCTGGGTTTTTTTTTGTTTGTTTTGCATCTCTCCATTGCTGTCCAAGTCATTCCAGACTGGCCACAGTCTTAGCGTGCTTCGTACAGAGAAGTTCTGTGCACCAGAAACTTCACGTAGGCTGCAGCAGGGCCGGAGTAGAGTACGAGGTCAGGGCGCCCTGCAGGCCACCCAGGGTCGCTCACCCTAAAGCATCAGGGCAGTCATTCGTGTGTCAGTACCCAGGGCTTTGTGACCTCTTGTGCCTTCCAGAGAGGGGACAGGGCCCTCTCCCTGCAGCAGTGCTCTCCAGCCTGTGCGTGGCCAGGAGCATCGGCCAGTTCTGGATCAGAACCCTGCAGCCCAGCACAGGGTGGGCCTGGTGCTCCCTCGTCCTTTACTGGAATAAACCATGGCACACCCTGACGCACACCATGTGGCGTCTCCCCAGCCTGTGTCCCTGGCATGGAAGCGCTGGGCTCATGCCACCATGTGCCGCGATGTGGCTTCCTGCTGTCAGCCAGGCCGTTCTGATCAAAGCGCGGCCGGGGTTTTAGTGGCTTTTATTTAATACTCAGAAATTCAAAGTAAATGTTGCTTCAAACAATTAAAAGGGTAATAAAATACTGGCACACAGAGGGGGAAAAGAGGATTCAGCTGTTTCTGGAATCAAATCATTCTTTGTTGCAACCAATTAGGACATCGTGGGGCCCTGGGCTCGGTGCTCACACGATATCGTGTGGGGTGGAGTCTGGGGCTGCAGGAGGACTTGCCAAGGTGGGGACAGCCGTAGAGCCGCCCCGAGGAGGCCGGCATGGGAGCTGTCTCAGGGTTGTCCAGGCTCAGCCCCTAGCACTGGACACAATGACCTTGACGTCACCTGGTTCCTGTGGGCCAGGCCCCGCTTCAGAAAAAAGTGAAAAAAAAAAAAATCACAAAAACGAGGCATCCGAGATGGAAGGAGGCTCTCAAGCTTCCCCAGACTAAGAACCCAGGGACGCTCAGAAGCCGTCACACGGCTGCTGGGACGCAGGGACTCCAGCATGCCCCGTGTAGGCAGGCCCAGGGCTCGGGGCGTCCGGCTGCAGAGCCTCCCATCTGGGTGACTTTTCTTTTTTTCAAGCCTGTGGGCACTCAGGGAAGGCACAGTGAAGCCCAGCTCCAGAGCTCCTGTCCAGGCGACGCCGTGCACACAGCCTCCTGCCACCCTAGTGTGAAGCCAGTGCCCAGTCACAGCTGCCCTGCTTGTTTTACGATCTGGGTGCTGTCTCACTGGGACAGAAGAATTTTCAGGGGACATGAGCTTGGGCCTGTGTTCATGGGACAGGAGCTGCCAGGACATCCGGATATCCACATGTCAGAATAGGACAGGGCTGTTTGCTTCTGTTGGAAACTGTGGCCTCCCTCCTCTGGGTGCCCCCTCCCCAGCCTGCCTGTGAACACGCAGGCCAGAAAGGTTCGGTGCGTGGAACCAAGGCAGCACAGAATGTTCTAGCCCTGAGTATTTTGTCACCGCGGCTCTCGAATGTCACCGCATCCCAAGGAGACTCTCTAATGCCGTTTTAATTATTTCTTGCTCCTGCTGGGAAACCACCTCCAACAGAATGGTTATTTGGAACCCTTCCCCAGCCTAGCAACAGCGGTAAGAGGAAGGATATTAAACTGTTTCTTCAAACTTCACGCTGGCATTCGATTTGCTATGAACAACTCATTCTGCAGCTCTGATCTATTGCGGGAAGGTGGGGATCGGAAAGACTGGAAAAGCCCATCTGGTCTCACTTCTGCGAATGCTGAGTGTGCAGGGCAGGGCTGGCCGTGCACGAGTCCCCAGGGGCCGGAGGGATCTGGGAGAATGTGGCAGGGACCGTCCACAGGGCAGGACACCGGAGAGCAGGGTCCACCAAGGAAGTGCAGCCGATGGAACCCATTTCTCTCCGGAGCCAAGGTGAGCCAGGGGTGAGCAGGCCACATGTGAGTGACAATATTTCTTTTTGCACGACACTCCAGAGGGAGATGCCACCTCACTCTGGGGACAGCGTGGTGAATACTTCACGTGTCCCCTTTTTGGGCTGAGTTGTGTCCTCCAAATTCGCAGGCTGAGGTCCCGGATCCCCAGTTGCATGTGCACTTGGAGATGGGTCTTCAGGGAGCTCACTGGGGGGTGAGGGCCTACGCATGGGTCTCACCACGGGAGGACCGGTGTCTTCTAAGAAAAGGTGAGGGCCAGACACAGGGTGAAGACTGTGAACCGGGGAAGAAGCTCGCCTAGAGGGAGCCTCGGCAAAAACCGGCCCCGCAGACCCCAGAGCTGCAAGCCACGAATTCTCGGCTAAAGCCGGCCGGCCTGCGGTGCTCTGCCACAAAGCCCTGGCGTAGTCTCTGCAGATGCGTCTGTCCCCACGAAGGGCCCCAAGCCATGTCCAGGACACCTTCACAGCCGGCTCCGGGCCCAGCCCCTGAGCCACATAAGAAACCAAGGCCTGCTCTCCACACCTGCTGCCTCCTTGGGCCGGGGGAGCCAGTCATCTTTTGTGCAAAAGATCAGTCAAAATAAGAGACACCCAAAAAGCTACAGGAGTGGAGAGGAAACTCAGGTCGTATCCACAGCTTCAGGGATTTGACAGGGAGGTTTTTTTAAACTAGAAAAACCTTTTCTAAAAAGGCCCTACTTCCAAGGAGGGCCCATCCCAGGGGAACCCCAGAGACAGGCAGGCAGAGTCCCTGAGGAGTCTGTGCCTACACAGCAGTGACAGCGACGGTGGCACTGGGCCGAGCGAGGACCTGAGGTTGCTAACTGCTCCATCACAGAGCACACCAGCAGGGCCCTGGGTCTGAGGCTGGGTCTGGTGGGGGCCGGGTTTTTTCTTTTTTTAGTTTTTGATCGAGACCAACAACAACTAACTCAGCAGCCTGGGAATTGGGGCCTCAAGCAGTGCATTTTCAAAGGCCCTGGCAGTCACAAGGAGAAGAGGTAAGGAACAACAACCAACTGGAACAGAAGCCCAGGGCCAGAAGCACAGACCCCGCTCCCGCTGCCCAGAAACCATCCCCGAAGTCATCCGCCGCTCCTGTCACTCCACGTTCTTGTACTTGGTGAAGAGGTTGTACAGCACCCTGAGGGTGGATTTGAGGTCCAGATTCACCACATCTGCAGAGAGAAACACAGACGGTGTTGGCGGGAGAAGAGAGGCCTTTGAGGCCCTCCGCCTATGGTTCAAGATCACAGAACATCACCTTGTCTCCCCACAGCCCGTAACTAATCACGAGAACAAGAAACAGTGGGCAGAGTCTGCTCCAAGTCAACCTTGACCTCCTAACCAAGCTCCTGTCCTCTCCTCCTGGTCTGTGGGTGAGGAGACCAAGATGGTAGCAGAGAACGGCTCGACCACATCACCTAGCTCCACGGGCGGGAGGCGGCCACCGTGCTCTCCATTGACCTGGGGCCCCCACCTCCCTGACACCCAGTGCAGGCAGTGAGACCGGAAGAGCAGTGGCCACTGAGGGCGGGCAGGGAAGGCCGGAGGCACTCTAGGGGTGTGAGGCCACAGTCCCCGCCCTCCCCTTACAGAGTCCACCCCCCGGCTCATTCACTGGGAAACCAGGAGCAGCAGCCCTGGGTCTGAACTTCAGAAAGTTTCAAGAGCCTTGCTGAAAAACAAAACACTGAAAATCCCACCAGACCCAGCCACCCACAGCACGCAGCACAGGGCTCCATCCTGGGACCCCATGACTCCAGCCCGTCCGCATGGGTCCCTCTGTGGTCCCCAAGGCCCCACCAGCTCCCTGGCTCTGACACTCAGCCCTGTGAACCACCGAGTTCCTCTTTCCTGGCCTGGGAGTCTCCTTAAGGGGACTTCCTGGGGAGGCAGGGACAGTGAGGTGACCCTGCCCCCACTCGTACCCACACAGAACACAAATGTGCCCAGGCCTTGCCCATGAGCGGAGCCTCTGCTGGGCCTCGGGGGACCTCAGGCAGCACCCAATGAACCTAAGGATGCCTCCCGCATCCTCCTAGAAGCACGGAGAGGCCCTTGGGCTCGGAGGTCTGCAGGCAGCAGCCTCGACCTGCGAGGTCAAGTGGCCGTTAAGGAAGCAGCACCGAAGCCGGGCTGGGCGGTGCATAACCGTCATCTCACACCGTGGAGGCTGAGGAGGGCGATGAACGGTCTGGGCCTGGAGCTCAGGGCCGGCCTGGGCACCACAGGGAGGGAAGCACTGGCAATGCCAGCCCTGCCAGTGAGCGCCTCTTGGTCCTTAAAACAGGGTCGGTGGAGCCCAAGCAGCAAGCCCAAGTCCCAGGCCTTCGGGAAGAGACACATCTAGATCACCAGACTCTTCCAGCCCTGGTCTCTCCCCTGCCATGCTGGGGCTGCCCAGGGGACCCGGCTAGGACCTTACCTTCAGGCCGAGCCTTGGGCTTCTTCAGCCCCCCGTCCAGCATCAGCTCGAAGGCGAAGGCCACATTGTGCACCTACCGAGGAGGAAGGAAGTCAGCACTGCGGCCCACAGTTCCACCCGGGCCTGCCGGCCGCCTGCTCCTTCCTTTTCGAAAGCAGGGTGATAGCCAGTGTGAAAGAGGAAGCCCAGGGTGGGGCACAGGGTGGGCACAGAGAGGTGCAAGTGCCAAGGTGACACACACTGCTAGACACCTGATCGGGGGCTGGGGATGGGAGGCAGAGGGCGCCCACCTGCCCTGGAGCACTGCAGCTGTGTGATGAGCAAGCAGCCATGGTGCTGTTTTACACACGGAGAAACTAAGGCTTTGGGAGCCACGTCCCTTGCAGAAACACCACCCTGTCCCTGCGGGGAGGGGACCAACCAACCAACCAACACAATAGGAGGACAGTGTTGGAACGGTCTTGCAGGCTCGGAGGAGTCAAGCAGCCCTCTTGCAACAGAGTTTTCATAATTTCAACGCAAGAGTCTGAAACGTGGATGACGGTTTTACTTAGAGTGTAATTTAATAATAAACCAGGAAAGCCGCTACCCCTTGGCCAGTGCAGCCCACCGTGTAACAAAGCAGCTTGGGGTGTTCAGAGAAGCAAAGAGTGGGACATTCTTCCAGCACCCCCAGCACACCGGACAGCTAGACACAGGGGTGCCATCCAGTGGGAGTACAGGCCGGCTGGGCTGCTGTGACCCCAAGTCCTGCCCAGGAGGGTCCAGGCCCTTCTGCTGGCAGGGTGGGCCGTGGGGACACAAGGCAGGATGCCAGATGCTCTGGTCTGCAGGACATGGAGCAGGGCCTGGGGTCAGGAGAGGCTGTGCCTGAGCCGGGGTGAGGGCAGGCTGAGCACTGAGCATAGATAAGGGGCAGGAGCCAGGGTGGGGGACGCAGAGGGTGCAAAGCACAGCCCCCCAAAGGGACAGGGGCAGCCAGCATCGGACATGACCCGAGCGTTGGGCACTGCCCTCGCTGCCCCTCCCAGCGCTGAAGGAGGTGGGTGTGATCACGCATTTCGCCGAGGGCACAGGGCGGAGACATGGGAGGGCAGCTGTAACCAGAAGAGCACAGGCAGGTGCAAGGCCGACACACAGTGAATCTGTGTCCGCAGTCCCGGCCTCCTGCCTCCTCCCCCTCGGCTCTGTGTCTCCCTCTAGCCAGCTGCCACCCGGGGATCCAATGCACAGGCTCATGTACCAGCACACACCTGCATGCAAAACAAGCTTTGGATAAAATGCAAACAGGCAGCAACTCAGAAGGCATAGTAAAACGGAACTTCTGCCCCGCTAAAAACTCAGGGTGCCCAGGGGGCTGTCCTCTGGGCCCTCTGAGAGCTCCTCAAGACCTGCAGGGTCCTTTCCCCAGCACGGAGAGGGCATGCGTGGAGGAGTCAGGCCCAGTGCCCCCCAGGCCAGGGCAGCCACGGACAAAGACTTGCACCCTTGTTTCAAAGGCACCAAAGCCATGCTGGGAGAAGACAGTGTCCCTGTTGGTTGCACAAAGCCTTGGAAAGAGACCCAGTTCCAGGGCTGCCTAAATCCACGGTTCTTGGCGGTGTCCCTGTTAACTGGAACAAAGGAAAGATCGCTCTAAAACAAGGCTGCTGCCTCCAGGCTCAATGGGGCTTGGGAACACGTGGACCTCTTGACCTAACCGTCCAGCCTCTGATTTCTAGGGTGTGGGTGGCACCTGACGGGTCCCACAGCCCACTCCTCCCAGGCACCGCACACCCTCTCTCCATCCCGCGCGGACTCCGCCACCGTGCCAAGACCAGGCTAATCTGTTCCAATTGCACACCTCAGCAGGCAGGGCGGGAGCGACATTTGGCCGTGAGCAGACAGGCTGCGCGGTGCCAGGAGCAAGCAGATTGGTAAACACTGGCCCCATTTTCTGCTGTTTCCCTGGCTGCCGCCTGCGTCTTCCATTGTCTGCTTCCTGACTCACGGGTCTAGCACTTAGGGGAAATTAAATGACAGATGCCGGTGAGTCCAAAGCCATCCAGACCAGCCCTGGCTGAGTTTTAAAGGTGAGGGGCTGGGGCCTGTGTCGCAGGCTCATTTTCAGAAGGCCCGGACAGGGACAGTGCTCAGGGCGGGGCGGGCACCCAGCCTCAAGGAACAACCCTCTCCGGGAAATTTCCCTAAGAACCCAACCACGGGAATGCAACATAGACACAGCACATAGAAACACATGCACACATGGAAAGCCAGTCCTCCGCATCTGTGGTCCACCCTGCAGACGAACCCCAGAGCTACTGGGAAACATTTGGAAAAATAATTGCTTCTGTACTCTGCAGGTACAGAGGTTCTTCTTGTCACGGCTCCCCGAGTAACGCAGGATAGCAATTACGCACACGCATTAGGTGTCGTGATTCTTCCAGAGCTGGCGTGCAGCGTGCTGGAGGGTGGGCATGGCTCCCGTGCCAACGCAGTGCCATCTTACCTAAGGGACCCAGCACCTGCGCATCTTGGTGCCTGGGACGTCCCTGGCCCAGACCCCGGCAGGTGCAGACAGCTGGCCACACCTACTTGAGTGGGGTGCGGGGGACACTGGCACAGAGCCGCCTGGGGGTACCTGGTGCCACCCCCGGAAATGGTATTCGGGAAGAACGTGTGTGCGGCGGGGAGGGTTGGACGTGCGGCGCATCTGACCACCGTGATTAAGGGTGTCAGGGGCTGTGGCGAAGACCCCAGGGAGGCAGTGGCCCGATAAACGCTGTGTACCACTGCCCCTGACCACAGCGAGTCGAGGTTCTGTCCGCTGAGTGGGCTCCGGGTTCTAAAGAGCACAGTGAGGCTGCAGAGAGAGCTGAGCGGTCACCTCGGCTGTGCCCTGGGTCACGCCCAGGGTTGGAGTTCCTAGTGGGACTGGGATTTGACCCAGGGCCTCTGCACTGAGCCACGTCCCCAACCCTGTTTTTGTTTTTTAATTTTTGAGACAAGGTCTTACTAAGTTGCCCTGGCTGGGCTCAAACGTGTGATCCTCCTGCCTCAGCCTCCCAGAGTGCTGGGATTACAGGCGTGCACCACTGCACCCAGCCCACACACGTACCTTCTGATCGAAGCTCTCTGGGGTCAGGTAGAAGTTATGGAGGGGAACAAAGTAGTCCTCCAGAAGGCCCATGAGCAGGACGAGGTACACACCATCTGCAAACTGCACAGAAACACCTGGTGATATTTCTGGGAGAGCATCCTGCACACACTCAAGACAGGGAGGAGATTTCACAACCCAACAAGCCACCTCCTGCAAGGAGGCGAGACCTGGAATCAAGGCCGGAGTCAAGGTCTCTGAGACTCAACTCCCAATCCACAAAGAACATGGAACGGAGGATGTCTCCAGGCCTCAAGGATGTTCTGTGGCCCATAGCAGTGCAAATGACCCATTCATGTGAGGGGCTGGGTCACCGAGCTGCCGTCATCAGCCACTCACTGACCAGATGGAACCCTGGAAAAGGGAGAGTGTTTCATCTACAAGCAACCACCCCCCCGGCACCCTCAACCACCCTAGTGGGCTGCTGATGGTATTTAAGGGAGAAGTCAGCCGGGCATTGTGGTACTATGATACACCGGTGCTCGTGGGAGGCTGAGGCAGGAGGATTGCAAGTTTGGCCCATCTTGGGCAACTTAACAAGAGCTTGCCTTAAAATAAAAAGGGCTGGGGATGTAACTCAATACAAAAGTCCTGGGTTCAATCCCTGGTAACCCCCACTCCCAACAAAAAAAGGAAAAGTCAGCTGGACATGGTGGTACACGCCTGAAATCCCAGCACTCAGGAGGCTGAGGCAGGAGGACTGCTTTGAGTTCAAGGCCAGACTGGGCTACTTAGTGAGTTCAAGCCCAGCTTGAATGACACAGCGAGACCCCGTCTCAAAGACAAAACAAAAATAGGACAAGGGCAGTCGCCAAAATCTGATACAAAAAGCCCTGGAGTAAAGCAATGTGTGAGCAGGTGGCTGTCCTTCTGGGGTCCCCCGGTCACTGAGTGATCTCAGCTGATGGGCAGAGCAGACTTTGCCTCCTTTCTGCACAAAAGAGGCTGTGGAGTAAATAAGGACAGAGGCGAATCCGACCTGAGACCCAGTGGCCCCCTGGCACGGATCTGAGGACTGCCAGGAGCCCAGGGCAGCACCGAGGGTGCGGACCTCCCCGGCCCACAGCACCTTCGCAGCTGGGAGTTTATCCCAAGGAAGGGCCGGGGCGCAGGTGGCTGTGCACAAAGTTGTCACTGTCCCCGCGCAGCAGCGTAGAGACGTCTGACCACACGAGGCCAGCCGCAGAGCGGTTAATCTAGACGGACAGGCTGAACAGGAGGGAAAGGGTCAGACAGCAACGCACAGGCACACACGCACTCCTCCTCCAAGAGAAGACGCCGGTAAAGAAGTTAGGAACCAAGAGCACGTTACAAGACAGCTGCACCGTGTGATCCACTGTCATTTGAGAAACACATTTATGCTCATAAAACACCGCAGGACAGAAGCATCCAGCCATCCCCGTACTTAGTCCTGCCTGGGAGTCTGGAGGGGACTCGTCTGCAGGAGAGGGGAAAGGATCCGCTCTTTGCCCAGCAGGCTTCGGGGCTGTTGTGCCACGGATGAGCCGCAACGCTAGAAAAATGCTGCGAATAATATCAACGCGTTGGCTGACAACGCAGGAATCAACACGCACGTCAGAAAGCAGACCACTCGGCTTCCACAGGCAGACCTGCTGCCCACACAACGCGGAAGGGCGAGGGTCTCCCCAAAACCCCGGGGATGGGATTATGGATGGCTTTTATTGGTTTTGCTTATCTGCATTTTCAGACGTTTCCCCAACGAGCCCGAATTACTTTTTTAATTAGCAAAGCAAATGAGAGAAATTAAAAAAAAGGAAAGGAGTAAAAGAACCCACCCAGGGGCTTAAGAAGGATCAGCTCTGCATTGGAGAAGCCTGCACCGCGAATGGCAGACTCCAAATTCAAGCACCCAGCTAATCCGGGGGAAATTATATTTTGTCTTCAATGCTCACCAAGTGCTTGAAAAACATATTTTTATCATGCCATTTTAGCTACGGGAAGAAGGGTTTGTTTTTTGTTTTTTTTTTTTTTTTTTTTTTTTTTTTTGGTCTTTTGAGCCAGGGTCTCACTATGTAGTTGAGACTGACCTGGAACGAACTATGTAGCCCAGGTTGATCTCGAACTCACAGTGCTCCTCCTACCTCAGCCTCCCGAGTGCTGGGATTACAGGTGTGCCCACCACGCCCGGCTCAGAAGGTCTATTTTATACCCCTGACCGCAAAAGGCCGGTCTGCAGATTCACCACGAGATATTTATTTAGCATTGGTTCAACACAGGCCCGGGGCTGACGGTGAGGGCTCCACCATGGAAGCAGAGAGGACAGCAGTTCCAGGCACAGGCACCATACATGCAAAGGCCCTGAGGTGGCTGGAGGCAGAGCCCTGAAAGGGGTTAGGGGTTGAAGTGTGTCTCCCACAGATACGATGGAGCCCTGATCCTCAGACCTGTGAATGCGACCTCTCTGGAAACAGGCGATCAGCTTGTGAAGAAGTTACTACAGCAGGCTCTGGTCCAACACAGCCCGGTCCTTATAAGACGCCCAGAAATGGGCCCATGGGAGAGATTCTGACCCCACGAAATGGCCCTGTCAGCCCGAAGCACCGCGTACCTGGGTCTCCAGCTCTGTCACCTCCAAATTCAGCTTGTTCAGGTGCTTGTTCACAAACGTGATGAGCGACTGTCAAGGCAAAGCGGGAGCTGTCAGGGGCCACCGTCCACCCCGCCGGGTGCAGTGGACACTCCGGCCCCTGCTTTGGGAAGCGTGTCCGGAGTCACCTCTGTCAGCTAAGACAAAGGGCCCGGGATGACAAAGGAAGGGTGGCCCCAGCCATGCCCGGCACATCTTGCCTTGGCGTCATCTCAGGGCTTCGGGATGCTCGGTCCACTCTTACCTGGTACCAAGGGACCCTGGCTCCTCTCTGGCAAAAGTCTGAAATTTGCCCCCTGTAATTTCTCAGCAATCAAACCCAACTTGAATGGAAACCCAGTTCCGCCTCGTCCACCCTGCCTCTGCTGTGACGTCATTTCTTATCCATTCTGTCTGGGTTCACTGAGCCACTAGCACAATGCCTGGTGCTGGGGACATCAAGACAGGAAGAGAGAGCCCCGTCGGAGAGCCCTGCAGTCTCCCGGTGGTGGGGACAAGGACACCAAGGGACAGAGCCCTGCACAGGAAACCAGCACCGCAGGAAGCTTCCTGGGCACAGACAGGAGAGGAACACAGACCTCGGCACTGTCCTAGGCCGGGAGGGAGGTGGGGGTGGCTGAGCAGTCCCCCAGGCCCAGGTGCATCTGACTGGCTGGAAGTGACTGGGGAGGGTTGCTGGGGAGGTGACAGTGCCCCTGCCTTCACTCCGGGACACAGGGAGCCAACACTGCAACTTGCCAAGGAGGATGAGGGAGGGCAGGCCGGAAGCCGGAGCCGTAAGGCAAATGAAAGGAACTGCTGCCTTCCCATTCCTGCCCCAAAAGCCATTTGCAAAAGACGGCATCCTGTCTCCTGGAAGGTGCAAGCTGCCCTTGGCCCACCGTGTCTAATGCTAGGGCCACGCACAGCGCGTTTATCTGCGTTTATCTGTGTTTATCTGCACAGCGCCGCTGAGGTGGTGATGTGGCCGCCCTCGCCTGGCAGACAGAGTAACAGGCTGGAGTAGGCGAGGGGCTCAGATTAGACTCTTCCTCCCATGCAAGTCCACTAGGCTGGTTCTGTCAGGGTCCCGGGGCTGGGAGGGGTGGAGGTGGGCTGCAGGGCCCTACGCCGCAGGTCCAAGACACGGCAGCCAGGAAGGCCTGGAAGGCTCAGGCCAGAGGACCACGGGGACTGCTGAGCTCACTGAGTGAACCTGGATGGGCCTTTCCGAGAGTGGGGTTCCGTAGGAACATCACAGGCACCGCCCCAGAGGAAGAGGCGAGCCCACTCCCCACAGCAGGCTTAGTAAGCACTGCTACAAGCTCCTGCCGGGGGAACCACGGCGCTGCACAGCCCGATGGCACCCTGTACCACCAGGTGCCCCTCCCCGAGGTCACAAGCAGGCACAGTGGCTGCTCTGGGTCCCCAGAAGGAGGGGAAGAGATCCCTGCGGGGCCCGAACTCCTTTGGGGAAACAATCCTGCCGGGCGAAGGGCCGGGAGGGCCTGGTAGCTCCCTCCAGGACTCCAGAGGCGCGAAAGTCCCCAACAGGAAACAGGCCAAGTGCGGCACAGGGCGTCTGCGCCCACGGGCGGCTTGTTTACTGGGCAGCTGCGAGTGCGGCTTGGCGGTAATGAGGCTGGTGACAGCCAGCAGGTTGACATGCTTAGAAACATTTCCACATCGACAAAGGCCTCGGGTGAAGTCGGAATGCACTGCCACGAACTGCCTGCCACTCTGGGGCTCATAATGCGCCTCAGAGAGAACAGGGAGGGCAGGGAGCCACCCAGGGAGCGGGGACAGAGTTCAAAGGTGCTAATTTTACACACTGTGGTTGCATTTCCAACTGTAATTAACTTCAGTCCATGTGGCAAACGTCTCGGCGATCCAAACATCCCCCCTCCTCCACAGGCGGGCACCAGGGCAGCGGAAAGCTAAGCAGGGGACGAGGAGACCTGGAGGGGACACAGCCTCCACTTCCTTACCTTCTTCACCACGGTCAGCTTGTCCGGGGCGTGGTCAAAGAGCGTGTCGAAGGCGTCCCGCTCTGCAGGACATGCGAAGAGACGAGGCAGGGCTCACGGGCAGCCGGGGACCAGCCAGCTCTGGTCCCTGGGTGTGTGGCCCCTGAGCCCATACCTGCCAGCGCCCTGACATGGCGAAGCCGGGAGCCGTATGCCCAGACCGACACAAAGGCTGGGAGAGAAGCCGCTACAGCAGAGGCAGCTCGGGCAGCATGTGGCCACATGCCTGGGCACACCACACCTCACCGTGCCCTGTCTTCCCGGGAACCTCCTTGTGAATCTGAACCCCCATAAATGCTGCCCCACTGCTCCCAATGCAGGCAGCCAGAGCTCCCCTGCTCACTTGCCCACTCTCCTGTACCCGTCCCACCTCCTCCCCAGCAATCACAGCCCTTAAGGTACACCTGGACCGCTTCTCTTCTCACTCCCAAGCCCACTAAACCCCCAAAGGCTTCTCTTCTCTCTTGGTCTAAAGCCCGTCCTCTCTCCCATAGTCCCTGGACTGTAACAGGCTCAGCATGGTCCTCTCAGCGATCACCCTCAAATCCAGAACACACCTGCCCCAGGGCCTTTGCACCTGCTGTTCTGGCTGCCTGGCTCTCTGTAGGTTCTCCTCCAAGGGGCTCCCCGTCTCTGCTACGTGTCCTACCCAGGGTCTATTTCCACTGCAGATGGCATTTCATTTTGATTTGTCTGCCATGTGCTGTCTGTTGGGCGATCAACTCCCCACAGCCGGACTACCCACTGCCTGCTCCCAGAGGAGTGGGGGGTGGCAGCCAGTGCTCAGAGTCTGTCAGAGCAATCCTGGGGGATCTCCTCTGGATGCATCTTCGAGGGCAGGCAGCTTGCACCTCCCTGAAGTGTCCCCTCCTCCTCTGCCTCCCCAGGGAGCCCTAACCACTCTGTGGCTGGCACGGAGCTTAGGGAGTCACCTCCAGGCAGGAAAGAGGAGAAGAGGGCATCTGGCAGGGACCTGGGTCCCCGGCTGCTGTCCTCAAGGTCCCCAGGAGACAGCACATGCCTGGGGATGAGGCCAGCAGAGAGACGGCAGTGGGCTCCCCGCTCAGGACAGAACCCAGGAAGCACAGCCCGGCAGCTGGGGCAGGGCCCCTTCACCTACTGAGGCAGCCCGGGTGCTAAACGGCAGAAGGTGCTGGGCACCTGAAGGCCAGGGCCGGAGGCCACAGCGGAGCCTCTTCCCTGGCTTTGGGGGAGGGGAGAAGCAAAGAGACAGAAGGAAAGTGTGTGTGTGTGTGAGTGTGCGTGTGCGCATGTTAGGGGAGGGGACAGTACCTCCTCCACTGAAAGGTCGACGTCACCCTCCCGACTCCCGCGTTCCTAAGGCAGCAGACCTAAACTGTTTCTATAATCACCCGAGTCACATTCTCCTCCCTGTGACAGTCTGTTAAGGGCCAACAATAGAGCTAAGTCTTTACCAAGAACTGCGCAAACTTGACTGTGGCTTAAGAAGAGCCCCGGGAGCAGAGCAGGCCTTGACGTCAGCGGTATATTTAGCTGGGCCACCGCTGGGCTGGCGGAGTCAAGCCACACAGGAGGCCACCCGGCTGCCGAGACGTCGCCCACGCCAGCCACTGTTCACCTGGACCCCGGGGCACGTCACATGGCCACACAGCCTGGAGAGGCAGGAGGATCGGGAAAAAAGGCTGTGGGGACCAGGCCACACACAGGGCCCGGAGAAGGAATTTGTGTGTGCCCTATAAGAATGAAAATAGATAGAGGTTCAGATCCCAGCTCCGTGGGTTAAAAGTTCACAGACTTAAACTGCGCTTAGTGGCACACTAGGAGGCCGAGGCAGGAGGACTGCAACTTAAAGCCAAGCCTGGGTGATTTTGCAACTCAGCAAGACCCTGTCTCAAAATTTCTTTTAAAAAGCTGTGGATGTAGATCACTGTGAGGGTCCCGGGTTCAAGTCCCACCATGGCAAAAACAAACAAAAAAGGCCACAGACTTTAGGTAAATGGCTTCCCTCTCCAAACCCACCTCCTCCTCCAAAAGCAGGCACAGCTGCCAGCCCTAGGCCACCCTGTGCAGCATTTAAAACAGGAGGTGACCCGGGGACCAGGGACAAGTACAGCCCAGCCGTCTCCTGGATCCCAGCAAAGTTGTCTTCCTTGCTGACAAGTTTGTTTTAACAGGAAGATTTGCTCAAAAGTCTGACATTCTGGCTTCTGCTGGAGAGGGGAGGTGTGGTGTCAGGGAGCAGCCCACGGGGACAGGGACTCAGTGGGTTTCCCTCAGAGGCACTGCCCCACTGTTGCCCCGAATAGAGGCTGAAGGTCAGTGACCTGGCCCCATCCCGCTCAGCTGGTCTCTGGGGCACCCAAGATTTGGTCCATGGGTCAAGGGTTGGGGGGACAGGGCAAGAAGGAACCTTGAAACTTGAGCTGGAGTTTGCAGGGGCAAGAGGAAGAAAAAAGGCATTGCACTGCTGGCATGGAGGCGCAGGCCTGTAATCCCAGCACTCGGGAGGCTGAGGCAGGAGGATCACCAGGAGTTCAAGGCCAGCCTGGGCTACATAGTGAGACCCTGTCTCAAAAAGCCACAACAGGAAAAAAGGAAAGGCAGACAGGGAACAGAACATGCAAAGGGAGGCATGAGCCAGTCCAGCTGTCCCCTGGGACAGGGAGTCCAGGCCAGCATGGTGACTGGAGTTTCAGAACCAGCTCTGCTGCAAGAAATTAGGCTGTGAAGGGGAGGCCAAGGCGATGGCCAGGGAAGGAGGGCTGGGGAAGCAGGACTTGCCCTCGTCCCCGAGTCCCACAGAGCCTTGGGAAGGAGCTCTGGGCTTTGGGAGGCTGGAGAAGGGAGGTGCTGCCTGCCAGAGACAGCAGCCCGCAAAGCCGTTGCCATGGAGACCAGCCACAACCTCAGCTCCCCAGAGAGGCACTGTTTCCCTGGGATGCTGGGGGCAGGCGGGGTAGCCGGGAGCCCAGCTTCCTGCTGGTGTGAGGAGGAGAATGGGGCGCACAGGGGCCCCACCACGCTCAGAGGAAGCGACCCCGAGAACCCAGCTCCCGGCAAAGCCCGGCCGAGGCCATCGCCAGGAGGGTAGACCCGTGTCCAGGAGCAGGACTGAGCCACAGAACCACGTACAGGGAGAGCAGCTCATGCGCAAGGCTGGAAGAAGCACCCTGGGGTGCTCTCAGACAGTGAGGAAGACACCATGCCGGGCCTGAGCAGGAGAGGGGAGCTGAGGGGCCGGAAAGGGAAGGGATCGGGGTACTTTATGACCCCCCGCACTGCAGGAGGCAGCAAGGTGGACGGGGCACCCCTGGGAGGATGTGGCACCCCAGGGCCCGAGACATGGGGAACGGCGGGCCCAGGCGGCCAGGAGCAGTGAATCTGGGAGACTTCATGCCTGCCTCAGCCAGAGCCACAGGCAAGGGCGGAACTAACTGCCTGTCACCAGCTTATAGCCTGTCTCATTCACCAGCTCCGAGTACCAGGACACCAAGGGCCTCAATGTCCCCACACTTGGCTCTGACCTGGGAGCCACACCCCAGGCACCTGGCTTGACTCCCATCCCATCCCCGGGGGATGCCACAGACTGAGAAAGGGCAGGTGACACCAAGAGCGCACCGCTTTGCAAAGGCAGGAGCAATGACAGGGCCACCCTGGGTCTCCACCCGGCACGGGCAGGCCACAGCTGCCCCTCCTGCTGCCTCCCTCAGCGACTGCTGGCGGAAGGCTCCTCTCCTCCTTTGTGTTTTGTTTTCTTAAATAACAGAGACATTTAAGAGAGCTGAATCGCTCTTTTGAAGGCTGTGAACTTCCTGGTGCAGACTCAGGTTCCTGGAGAGAGCTCCCCGAGCACTTGCTCCAAGTCAAGACCTTCCGGAATCTGAGAGCCACACCCATGGCTGGATGCCTCAGTCTCCATAATAACCTGGGGTGCCCCGAACCCCAGGGTTGGGGCTACTCTCACGGTCTCTGAGGGTTTCAAAGCTGCCCTGAGGGGCTGGGCCTTCTGTCCCCACCCTGGTCTGAGTGGATGGGTTCCAGACTTTTGCAGAAATGGGGAGAGCCATCAAGAGGCCCTTGTGGAAAGAGCCCTGAAGACAAGCAGCAGCACCACCGTCATACCCGAGCCTCGCATCCTCCTGCTCTGCCCTCGCACCAACCCCTGCCCCACCCACAGGACTGCAGGGCCTGACCACAGGGAGGCGTCCTGAGCTGGAAACCTTTGGTGGGAAATCGAGGCCCGAACCTCTCCTTCCCTCTTCACCCGGCTCCCCACACGCACCCCTCCCAGCTCAGACAGGGGCCGGGAAGCCCATGGGTCCAGGTCCCCCTAGGGTGCTGGGACCCAGATTCCCTCCACCCACAAGGTACCAGCTGGGTGACTTACCAAAGCGGCCCATCATCATCCTCCAGCCAGGAACAGAGGGCAAGGGAGGGAGAGGGAGACAGAGAGGGGGCGGTCAGGAGGCCCGAGGCCCCGGTAACAGGCAGCACCGTGGGGCAGGTGCAGGGCCAGAGACGGGCAGAGCCACAGACGGCCACACTGCGTCCCACTCCCACGACGGAAGTGAGGGTGCACGCGTGGGTGGCCTTCACGCCGGCTCAGTGGCAAACTGCCCCCCTCTTGGGCACAGAGGCCTCACGAGGCCGCCCTGAGCACGAGTGGACCCTGGGGGGGAGGATTCCCGACCGTGGACCTCGGGACAAGAGGCTACAGCTTCCCCGTGCGTGCAGACACGATGGGCTTTCAGGGACAGCGTCACTGAAGCCCCACGGGGCTGGGCCCCAAAGGGGGCAGCGTAAAGGACAATGACAGACAGTGCAGTCACGCAGTCCCCGCCCGGAAGCCGCTTCCTGAGAGACAGGGAGAGCCACTCCGTTCCAGGGCCTCCAGTGCAAGGCCTTTGGCTCCATCTTAATTAACAGACATTTACGTGAGCTAAACACCCTGCCCAGCCTGGGGATGCCCAGAGGGAGGCTGTGTGTGAGCTCCTCTGGGACCTGGAAGGAGGCCTGAAACTCCCGCCTGAAAAGCAGAAGGGCTTCCTGGAAAGGGTGGGAAGAGGAACCAGAAAGTGCTGGGCCACGACGGAGCCTTTGAGGAACTCAGGGAGACCCGATTCTGCAGGAGGGGCACCAGGAAGCCCATCTGGGCGAGAGGTACCCAAGGCGGGCAGGAGGGTGAGGACAGTGTCCGCTCCGGCGGGGCCCAGGAGGGCCGGGGACAAGAGGGACTCAGCCCAGAGATGGAGGCTGGGCAGGAGGCTGGCGGGGCCTGGGCGTCAGCCTGCCGAGGTGGCCTCTCCGGACCCTAGGGCCCCTGCTGTGCAGCAGACCAGGAGCTGGGCCCCCAGATCCTCCTGGGCTTGGGGTTTCCGGCATCCGGCTGAAGCGGCCTCCCGGGACTCTGCACACCCCGACTTCCGCCCTGGACACCTGCACGGTGCGCCCAGGACCCCGGTGCTCCCCACACCCCAGCTCTCTCCTCCAGCTCCTTCCTGGGTGAGGGCTCCCTGGGGCGCCTCACACGGAGCACACGAGAGGTCTCCTGGGCCTCCCTGACGGCACACGCGTGCCCGAGGCGTCTGCACACCCAAGTGTGAACTCGAGGGGCCGTGACAAGCGGCTGTGACTGAGGGGTGGGCGAGCTGAGACCGTCCGCTCTGTCAGCACCGCTCCCTGTGAGACAAGCTCAGGCAAGAAGGGCAAATGCCCAAGACCTGGCATGTAGAGGTACAGGATCCCAGTAATGAATGTGATGTACTGTCTGCCTAGAATGTACCAATAAGTTAAATTAAAAAAAACACAGAAGGGAAACGCAGCAGGGACTGAGGGCTGGGGGTGGGATAAAATTTAACTGAACAAACAAACAAAGAAAGAAGCACAACCGTGGTGGGTTGTAAAGAGCCTGAACCGGGTGCCAGAGGGCCCCTAAAAACCGTATGCCGAACATACTATCTGGTTTGCAGTTTTCAACGGTTTGGAGCCTTTCAGACTTTGAAAAGTCCGCCCCTGGCTCTCTGCAAGAGATGGGAGAGGGCCTGGCGATGTCAGCCAGAGGGAAGCTGGGTGTCGACCTGCGGCCCCTGCCTCAAAGGAGCTGAAGTCGGCAGCAGGTCTCGGGGACCACCCTGAACCACCGGGAAGCGCGTGCCGAGACCCAGGGATCTGCCGAGCAGTGGGGCCACTTACTCCGTGGTCGTGGTCAGCTCCTCTGAGACGTGGCTGGAGTGGAGCAGGCCTTCCCGCTTCTGAAAAATCCCAAAATATACAAATAAACACCCAAGAACTGGGTGGGCAGAGGGATGAGGAAGGACAGAGGGACAGGGTGGCGGGAGCCGAGTGCAGACAGCTGTGCCCCGTGCCCCTGACCTGCTCCCCATCCTCCGTCCTCCACACGGCTCCAGGCACCGGGTCACCCGGCTCAGGCTGCCAATAAGCCCAGCAGCTGAGAGAGGTGAGGATCGGGGTCACCCAGGGAAACAACACCTGTGCCTGCCCTGAGCGGGGTCCCCGAAGCTCACATCCACCGAAACCTCGGCATACGATCTTCCTTGGGAAGAAGTCTTTGCAGACGCCAGTGAGGAAGAGGCCACACTGGATTATGCTGGCCCCATTTCCAACATGACAGACAGAATAGGAGAGGAGAGAGACCCAGAGGCAGAGAGGAGAGGCCGCAGTCCAGGAAACTGAGGAGGACAAGGGAGGGTGAGTGTCCCTGCAGACTCCTGGATGTCAAGCTTCCAGCCCTAAACGGCGAGACTCAATCCGCTGTTTGAAGCCCGCAGCTGTGGCACTAGCTGTGCGGCCCAGGGAGGTTAACGGAGCACATGACGCACTTCTCGAGGGCCTGGCAGGTGCACAGGGTGCACAGAGGTGGGGAGCAGGGTGACATGGGTTGAAGCCCACCAGCCACCATCTCAGGCCCCTAACCGAACCTCCCGTGGATGCCACCCACAGTTGGAGCTGTCCCTCCCTTTCCTGAGCAGCCTCAGGGAGCCAAGGGCTGGCTCTCACTGAGGAGGAACAGCTGTCTGTTCTGTCAGCTTGCTGACAGCCTTGCCGTGCCTGATTCTTGGGAAGAGGAGGGTCTAGGACACCGGCTCACTGATTCCCTCGCCAAACCTGGTGTCAGCTCCCACCAGACGCCGGGCCAGGGCCAAGGCACTGGAGACACGAAGCTGAAGGGTTAACGGTTTGTAGTGTGATCCAGTTCCAAAGGGAAGTCATCACAGCGCGGTGAAATCAAGTGTCTGGCCAGAGGCCACACTGCTAGGTGGCGGATGAGGCCCTGGGTCTCGTCCCTTCCACCCGGGGAATGCCACCTGCCTGCTATCTTAGATCGGGGACACAGTCAGCAGGGCAGCTCCGCAGACTCCTCTCCCTCCTCTCCTCCCCACTGCGCACAGCCCAAAGAATCCTGTGACCTGGGTCAGCACAGACTGTGCCAGCAAGTGCTTGCTTGGGTCAAACTTTCCGAAAACCGGATTATCTTGGACCAAAGTGCAAGCCTGAAAGGAAATACCCAGGACCCTGAGCCCACAAAGTGCTTCCAGGGCCCGAGGCTGACGTAGGTCCCGGGCAGCCTCCTGCCAGCGAGCATGCATCCAAGATGAGGGACCGCAGGAATGGTCCCCAGGGGCCCCCGTCACTACCGCAAACATCCTCTGCAGGAAGGAAACAGAGGGACGACAGGGGACCTTTGCCGGAGCCCAGCAAGGGCCTTTCCCTGCGTAACGGGGGTGCCGGCATGGCTTCAGAAAACACGGGCTCAGCCAGATCCTCACGGACTGCAGAGACCTCGGGACTGATAAGCTGAAAACCCAGAGAACGGCACGGAGCCGGGTATCTCAGGTAACAAAAACAACCGGGACATCCGGGTTCCGAGCACAACCTCCACTCCCTGGCAGAAGCAGCTGCTCCTCCAGGCCCCCGTGTGTTTTCCTCATTTGGTGTCCCCAGCAGCCGGGAGAGTGCTTGGCACCCAGTGGGCACTGGATAAATGCTTTGCTGCATACTCGGTATCCCTGAAAGCGAAGGGAAACTTGGGGAGGTCGATCTACCTCCACCTCCTCCAGGGACCCTAGGCCCTGGTTTCACTTCTCCAAGTGAAGCAGGAGAAATGAACCCCAAACAACAGATAATGGGGAAATGACGGCTGTAATACTCGGCAAATGCGAGAGCCTTTAATTTAGGTATCTATTTCATACCACCGGTCTCAACCTCTTCCAGTGAGTAATAAGCACATTCAAGGGGATTGAATTCCGACTCGTTGGCTTTGGAGAGAAATAAATGTTCTCTTCAAAATTCTGGAAGATTAAACCTTAACGCTCTCGCGGCTTCGTGCCGTCTCTCTCCAAATCAGTGCCATTGTTCCTGCTCCAAATCCTTTATCTCCAGGCCAGGGTGAGACGCACATTTTCTTAAGAGGGAAAATGGAAAGTAGCCTCTTGGGAGGAAAAAGAAAAAGCTGGAAAATTCCAGGAGGAGAAAGTCCGGCCGCCTCTGGGCGGGGCACTCACCCGGACAACCACCATCTGCACAGACACGAGCTCAGGAAGGCGGATCGGGGCCCGGAAGTGCATGGCCAGGGAGACGAGCAGGTGGAGGATGGCCACCAGGTTCTTGCTGTGGATGGCTGGCCAGGAGGGAAGGACGGGAGGTCTCTATCAGAACCTGCGCCCGCATTCGAGAGGCCGAGGCGCAGCGAGACCGAGGGGCCCAGGATGCAAAGCACGGGAAAGGCAGAGTTGACAACAGATCCCCAGAGAACCCATCTCTACTCTGTGTATTTTTTTTTTTTCCCTTTCTTGTTGGCTGATGGCGACTTGTGCTACCAGTTGGGGCCCGGTGTTCAAGCACTTTTGAAAAGCAGTGACGGGGGTGTGGGGAGGACAGGTCACAGCCATGTACCAGTCATGCGCGCCATTATCTCTGGCACCGGACAGTTTCTCTCTCTGTACAATCAAAGCCACCCCCACGGGGGCCGGGCCAAGGGCACAGGCTGCTCTGGGGATGGCTGACACTGACTCCTGCCCTGCCGAGCTGGTTCCTGGCTGCCCTATCCACTTTCCTTTCGCCCTCCCTGGGTACCCAACTAACGCCTGCTAGAGTCACCCTCTGTGCAGGGCTTTGCAGTTTATAAGGCATCTCATGAGGCAAGGCAGGTCCACCCAAGGTCGCCTGCTAAGAAACCAGGGCCAGGACCTGTCACACCCAACTGGCCTGAGGGGGAAGAAAGAGGAGGACAGGAACAAGGACAAGGCCCAGCTCACATCTGTGCTGGGGACACTCCGCTGTCACATTATCCTAAATCCAGCCCACTTTGACCCTTTCCCAAGGCCAGCGTGAGCTCCTGCTTTGGGGTCATCAGTAAAACAGCTCACTTAGCGTCAGCGCTGTGGGTGTTTGGAGTCGAACCCTCCGCCTCTGCAGCCACCCTGATCGGCCCCATCAGAATCGATTCCTCCACTTGGAGCAGGGAGGACACAGAGCGGCTGTGAGCCACTGCCTCTTAGGTGTGAGCTTGTCACCCAGTGCCGGGGGACCGGATCCTCCTCTGCGAGAGCAGCAGAGCGAGCCGGTGACCAGAGGACGAGCTCTCCCGGCTCTGCCCCCAGCGGCACTCACAGTCCACGCTCCATCGCAGCGCCCAGCCGCGCGGCCGTAGCAGGTCATGCACGGCTTCCAGCACGGTCTGCAGCTTCTGCCTCTGCCCTATCTCGGACTGGGTCACCTCGGCCACGTCCAGCTTCCGGTCCGCCAGTTTTTCTGCAAGGACAGAGCGAGAGGCTGAGAGTCAGAGGAAGCAGCAGGTCCCAGGGCTGCCTGGCCGTCTGCTGGGGCGGGGGTCCCCGGAACCGACAGATGACCAAATCTAGGAAGCTCGGACTTCGAGGCCGTTCTGAGTCTGGTGAGACTCGTTCCAGGAGGGAGAGGTGGAAGCATGAAGGCAAAGCAGCACGTCTCTGGGGAACATTCTGGGCACATCCAACGGGGAAAGGCATTCCAGGTGCAGGTGAGGGACCAGGAGGGGGCCCAAGAGCCCGGAGAAGGAGCTGGGAAATGAGGCGGTCGTCCTGTGGGTTCCCGAAGAGAGAAGCACTTGATAAAGATAATAAAAAGACTCCTGAAAGCCACCTCCTCTGCCTCCTTACACACCGGGACTCCCGTTCCCATTTCTCTAACATTCTGACACCACGAGAAGACGTTTGATTAGAAATTTGCAGAACTCGGGACTGTGTGATTTCCAAGAGCGAACAGGAAGCAATCTGGAGGAGCCCGGGCAAGAACTGTCACATTCGTTCAAGATCCAATTACCGAGACAGAGGCCTGGGCACAGCCCTGCACGCCTTCAATTTCCCTCGGGGGCCCGTGGGGCTGCAGGGGACAGCAGGGGACCCCGGAGCTCCATAAGCTGCACCTGCAGGACAGGAGGAGCCCTGGGCGCCCCTCCCCACTTCGAATCCCAAGACAAGGGTGCTTCCCCACAGATCTCTCCTCAGCCACACAACAAAAGCCACGGCACGGAGCCTCGCGACACAGTTCCCTGGGAGGGTGATTGCCACGTCCTCCGCACAGGGCCTGTCCACCGCCAGGTGTCCACACGGAGCAGCTGTCAGCCACACCACCCCAAAAGGAGATCACGGAAGCCTTCAAGGGCAGGCTGGTCACTGTGGGCTTTCTGGGCTGCCCACGACACAAAGTTCCATCTAAAGCCTTCTCTGGAGGCCCTGGGGACACCACATTCTCTCCCTGCCTGGCAGGCAGAAGCATAAGCAGCAGTCCTAGCGTCCCCTGCAGGGTGAGGGGATCGCACAGCAACACCTGTGAGGCTCGGGACACCATGCGTTCATCTGCCCACGGAACAGTGACTGCACACCTGCTAATGGGCAGGCACTGTCCTAGGCACTGGGCAGGCGCGGACAGGGACAGGGTGTGGGGTGATGGCCACAGTGGGGTCCGGAACAGACTAAATAAAGTCAGGGTAGGCAGAGGGGAGCATGGGGGAAAATCACAGCTTGCGGGGAGTGGAAACAACTCCTACCTACGTGTGTGACTCCCAGACCTGTATCGAGTAGTTCCTGGCTGGATAAATCTACGGCAACCTACACAGCTACTCCGAAAACAGAGGAAGCGGGGCTCATGGGAGTCCAGCAACCAAGGACAGGGCAGACAGGAGCCTTGGGGAGAGAGAGAAGGAGGGTCACAGCCCAGCCACCAGGAGAGACAGGCAGCCCAGCCTCCTCCATTGGTCTCCTGCTACCAGCCTACCCTACCCACCGAAGATGTCCACACTCCCTGGGGTGGAAGGGAAGGAGCTGCACGAGTCAGCACGGACTGTGTAACAAAGCAGACAGGAAGCTTGGACCGCAGTGATTTGTTCTCAAGACCTGGCGACTAGAAGTCTGAGATCCAGATGCAGACAGATAGGGCCGGGATTTAGCTCAGTGGTTCTGCCGCCTGCCTCTCAAGTGCAAGGTCCCAAGTTCGATCCCTGGTACCAAAACAAACAAATAACAACAACAACAAAAAAAACAGGATCTCATTTAACTGAGGTACCTCTCTAAAAACCCTTCTCCAAAAGTGCGCACATTCTGCCGTATGTGTAGGTGGGAAAGAAGCCAACAGGGGAATCTGGGGAGGACACACCCAGCCCACGGCGTCTTGGGTAACGCCCCTCGTGGCAGGGACTAAGGGCCGTGGCAGCTGCATCAGGGCGTATCTGTGGGCCAGACCCCATCTTCCCGAGACAGAGGGTGACGCTCGAGTCGCCAGGTAACTGGGGGCTGTGGCCGCGTGGGCTCTGCACTCTCAGGGGAGGCTGACTTTACTCAGGGGATCCGTGTGCCTGTGTGCTGGCAGCAGGGCAGCGGGCGTCCTGGAAGCCCTTGGCACCCAGCACGGGTGCCCCCTCTGCCCCAAACAGTCCACCTGAGAGGTCACTGCAGCGACAGAGAGATGCACTCGGAACTGCCCTGTGGCAGGAGTCCGGAGTCCGGCAGCTGCTCCTGGAATCTGTTCTTAACAAGAGGGACCTACTGGGGTCTTCTGGAAGAGCATGGCAAACCCAGAGCCCCACACCCGCCCTCCTTGCCACGCCCCACGGCAGCACCACCCCAGGCCCTGCCTCGTCGGACACCCATTCCTCCAGTGGCTCCGCCCCTTCCCCACCAGTCCTGCTCTACCACGGATACACAAAAGTCAGTTTTGCCCTCGATGTTCAGGCAAAATCCTTTATTCAATTCTGGCCTCTGCCTTTGCAAAACGAATGAGCTTCCGAACACCTACATCAAGGTCATTCCTGGAATTATTACATCTTACATCTTGTACAGGACCAGGCAAGACATTCTGATGCTCTGTTAATATCTGAGTGTTCTCATCCACTGTCTTTTTTTCCAGTCCAAGTGGTACATCAGACCACTCGACATACAAAAGACGTTGAAATCGCCGTCTCAAGTGCTTATTCGAGACATTCAAGCGCGATGGAGCTGCATCCACTCCACTGTCAAAGGCTGCCTGGGCCCCCAGTGAGCCTCACGATGCCCTTTCCAGATAACCACAGACATGCAGAGGACCCACACACCCACGGCAGCTTCAGAGCGAGGGGTGCACTGGCTGGGGCCGACTGAGGGAACCGAGCAGACAGGTTGTGAGAAGCCAGCAAGCACCTCTGCTCTAGAAGATGGTCCAGGGGAGGTACTGGCATCCTTTCCGGCCACAGCTGAACTCAGAGCCCATCCTGGGGCCTGAGAGCCAGTTGCACAGTCCCCTGGCCACAGATGCATGGGAAAGAATCAGAAATTAAAAACTTAAGTACACGGCACTCACGTTCGAGTGTGAAAATATTAGAAAGTATCGGTTTGGGGCAGGGAGCGCTGCACCAGCTGCGAGGATGGGTTTGATAAAAAACCCAAGAGAGGAGGAGGAGCCAAGCCTTCTCCAGAATTGGTTCTCAAGGATGCAGGAAACTAAGAACCGGGTTGGCTTTACCATGAGCTGCCCGCTGCGGGCTGTGCCAGGCAAGCACAGTGCGCTCCCCTGGCCTTCGAGGAGACGGGCGTCTGTCATCTCAGAGGTCCGCTCCGAAGACCTGGAGGGCAACGTTCACCTAGCAGAGCTGAGAACGACCGTGCCGGTGCTCCAGGGCAGACTTCAAAACGCCAGCTGCTAACGTGCATCTCGACTAACAGTTCAGGTTCACTCCTGAGCTGGCCCCACGGTGTAGCCACCCGGATGTCGCTCTCTGGTCACCGGCTGTTCAGGCCGCACTCCCACCTGGTTCGGACCACTTCCCCTGGCACTGGGCTGTCGTGGGGCATCCCGATCCTGGGTCCAGCTCCAACTTCTACCCCTCCTCCTCATCCACCCGGCACCCAGAAGTCCAAGAGACCTTTTAAAATGCCAGCTCTGATCATGTCACGGCCCTGCTCAAAACCTCCCAGGATGCCTCTTACTTGGGAGAAAACCTTTGCTTCCTGAAGCTGGCTGTGAACTGGCCATCTGCCTTCCCAGCCTCCAGCCCTGCTCCTCTACCCAGCAGGCCTCTCCTCACCGCACAGCTCTGGCCGAGCCTGTCCCACGCTCTGCCCCGGTGTCTGCTCGGGCGCGAGGTCCCCGGAGGGCTGCCCTGGCCACCCACCCCACCCTGCCTCTCTCCACCCCTAATCCGGTGCCATTTCCTTCTGCTGCGATGTATGCTGGGGGTTGGGACCCCTCACGCATCCCACTGTGACTCAGTGGCACAGAGGAAGCCATGAATATGTGCTCAGCAGACGAAGGAATGGATAGATGGATGGACGACCACAACACACACAATCTCTCCCTCTCAATGGCCTGGCCATCCCTCTGTCCTTGAGGCAGCGGCGTGACCCAGTTCCATGTCCCCATCCTCAGCGCAGATCCAAGATGAGATGGTCTGCAAGAGTCGTGCAGATCCTGGAGCAGAGAGCACAGCCCCAACACAGCCTGGGCGTGGCAGACTCTGCCCCACATCCCCAGGGCTCCTGTCCTACCTCAGAGCACCCCCTCCAGGCCACCATGCCCTGTAGCTGTCTCTTCTACACGGAGTTCCCTGCAGGACTAGAAGCCCCCTCACCGTCTCCAGCCCCCAGAGGGGGCATCTGCGGTGGTGTGCTGGGGAGCCCGGGGCTCTGTGGGTCCACTGAATGGTGGGAGTGGAACGGGAGGGAGCCCCAGACCGAGAATCTGCCACCTCGGGGGGCTCCTGCTGACCCACACATGCCGGGGGAGACTTGAGGGACGGTTTGGGACCCCACAACCACATCAGAGCTTCATGAGGACCAAAAGGCTGCAGAGCAAACTGCTGGGCCTGTGGGGCCTCCAGATGGTGGCGGGGTACCGCAGACCAGACAAATGCTCTCTCTTCCCTTCTCTTGTCACCTCCTTCAGGAGAAGCCCCCGATCCGCCCAGGTCACAGAACTGCAGGACTCTTTCGCTGGTTCCACGGAAAAGAAGCGCTGTGCATCAGCCAGAGGGAACCGGACAGCTACAGCCCTATTTATTGGTCTTTTCCCGGTTTAGCCACCACTTGCTTAGTGTGGACAGAGCAATGCCAGCCCCATGCTGAGTGTTCCACATTCACTCACTGTTCAGCAGGGAGCTGGGCTTGGGCTCCAGGTGATAAACATTCAACGGAGCTTCTGCGACCACAGCCTCCCCGCTCCCTCATTTTCCTCTTTCCTTAATTACGCACCTCATCCTTCCCACTCAGGGCGTCACACCCTACTTCCCAACACCAGTGACCACCTAGGTGTCAAATCGGACCCTCAGCGCTTCTGTGCAACACGGAAATCAGTGCTGCTGCGGGGTGGAGGGCTCTTTTTTTAAAATGAAAATACAACAATATTTTGCTCAATGATGTAAACATCCCAAGAAAGACAATGGAATGGCTCAGGGCTGTGTGGAACTGGTAAAAGTAGAGGCTAATTGTACTGTACCGTACAGTACTGTGATTTTTGCTGATTGTACTACACGGTAAAGTCTTGTAGTTTTATGTTCTGCTATGCATCACAGTACTGCGTGTAAGAGTTACGCAAATAAAAGCAAAGTCATCAAGTTGGAGTTTCCCTTGACCATTTCTGAATGTCATAATGTACACACTGTATACGATTCCTCATGTACTGACCAAGTCATTTAATGATCTAGTCACAGGATCGGAAACTCGGCTCTTAAATGTGGAATGTCTGTAGTTCAATTAAATTAAGGGGAAAGTGCAAGACCTTACCCAACATGCCACCTTCTGTGTAAGAAAGATCAGTACAAAGCTGGGTGTAGTGGCGCACACCTGTAACCCCAGTACTCAGGAGGCTGAGGCAGGAGGATCGCCGTGAGTTCGAGACCAGCCTGGGCTACACAGTGAGATCCAGGTCAGTCTCAACTACATAGTGAGACCCTGTCTCAAAAAAAAAATCAACCAACCAACTGATCACACGACCACTCAAAAAGAACTGAATGAACTCGGGAAACTTCTAAACACAGAACTCTCCTCGGTGGATAAACTGGTGGACAAAAACAGTAGCAAAGAAGCCCTGTGCTTTCCTCAGCACCCTCAAGCACCTCTCAGCCTTTCTCCTCAGGGTCAAGCTCTGCACAGGTAGCGGCAGCAGGGAGAGCAGCTCGGAAACTGCCTTTGTGGTTAGCAGGTGGGGAGGGCTGCACAGACGTCTTCATTTTCTCGATGCAGATGAGGACCCAGAAAGAGGAGGCCTGTGGGGGTTCAGCCAGAGTTAGAGGTGCAGAGTGGGCTCATGATGTACAAACATGCATGTTTCCCAGCTCTCGACAGAAAGACCAGGACAGGACAACACGGGAGAAGCCGCACGCACCTGCAGCACCCTGACAGTGACAGCTGAACGCTCCTCCCCTCTTTACACAGGAGGAACCCATCAGTCCGTAAGCGCGTCCCAAAGGAAAGGCAAGGGAGAAGGGAGCAGGAGAGGGAAGGCCCTGTTTACAGAGGGAGATGGCAGCCAGTGGGCGGGAAAGCAGCTCCAGAGAGCTCAGCCATCTGCGGCCTCCAGGTACTAAGTGATCTAAGGGACGGGCATCTGTGGGGATCAAAGTCAGGGCCACGGGCCGTGCGTGCCGTGACAGCCGCCTGGTCCCAGAGTCCCACCCTCCAGAGACGGCTGATGCATTAAAAGGGCACAAAGGACCTTTCCGATGGAGAGCTGCGCTGGCCGGCACGTTACCGAGGGACCGAGGCTGTTGGGTCCCCGGGGACAGCCTGGCCCCACCCATGCTGGGCCTAGATGTGGTTGTGAGAAAACGCCATGCACAGCCAGGCATCTTGATCTTCTGTGGGCCTTCAAAACCATCGCAAAAGACAGAAAGAATGGGAGGGAGGAAGAGGAAGTGGGGGGTTGTTAAATCAGACAGGAAAGGAACAGACCGAAACAGCAGGCACGTGGGGCACGACTGGGACGGGCCATCCCGGAGTCGTCTTCAGAGCCAGCTGCGACAATAAGGGGCACATCTGAGCCCAGGCCTGTTCCCAGAGCACCCTACAAACGGGGGGGGCAGGCACCTCCACTTGGCTGTGAGCTCCAAGACAGCAGGGACCATGTCTGTCCAGCGTCCCTAGCACCCAGTCATTAGACACAGGGCGAAGAGATCATCTGGTGCAGTGGCACACACCTGTAATCCCAGCTACATGGGGGAGGCTGAGGCAGGAGGATTACAAATTTGAGTCCAAAGGGCAAGGCAGCTCAGAGGAACTCCCTTCCTGTCTCCTTGCTCCCCTCAGCACAAGGGTCCAAAGGGGAAGATGCTCAGACTGGCCTGGGACCTGAGTGTGACTGTAGTACTCTCAGAGCACGCACTGGACAACCCATGAGAGGGCAGGTGACCGTGCAGCCACAGCAGGGAGAGGAGGTGCAGCTGAGGGAACCCGGCAACTCACCCAGGAGCTTCTGCAGCACTTGACCGTCGTACAGGTCCTCCTCCAGCTGCTTCACGATGATCCGCTCCCCCACCAGGACATCGTTGATCCAGTCCAGGAGAACCTGGGGGGAGGCGGAAGTCACGGCCTTGCTCTGCCAGAACGGCACAGCCAATGGCAGGGACAGGGACACGGCTGCCCAACATGGTCCGGGCCCTGGGACAGCGGGGCTCCGAGGCAGCCTGCACACCCACCCCAGTGCAGGGACTCCCGGGACTCCCCGGGGTCCCCTGGCAGAGCACACAGGCTGCCCACTGGGAACGCAGGCAGAGGGGGATTTCTGGGAACTATATTCCCATCTTCCCACTGACTCAGAAATACTAACCCAGACACACGCTCTCTGAAAGAACAGAAGTAAAAACAGAGCCAGGGAACACCGGAGGAAAGCGCGGGGTGGAGCCCCGTGCTCTGCATTGGTCATCTTCTCCAAAAGCTCAGGACAGAGTGGCTCTCCCTAGCAGTGGCCCAAGGAGCACTGTCTTGGGAGTCCTCTGCCTTCTGCTCTCCCTCCACACATGCGGGTCCTGGCTCCTCTCTGGGCCCCTCCCCTCCTGGCCACACTCCCTCCTGTCCAGTTCATGGTCCTGTGACCTCCAGCGCCGTCCCTAACACAGGAACCTGACCCGCGGAACCATGGGTGAGCGCATGGCGGGTCTGCAGCTGCGGGACTGGGGCAGAGTATATCTTGGTGGCAGAGTGCGTGCTTAGCATGCATGGGGCCCCGGGTTCGAGTCCAGCACTGCACGAAACATATCAATAATAATAATAATAATCACTGAACTGGCGATCTCTTACCCAGAACAGCAAGCCAATACAGGGCCGGACCCTCACTAATTCCCAGCACCCGCCTCCTACACAAATAATGTCACCACAGTGTAAAAGACGAAGCATGGTGCAGATTTTGAGGGCTGCACCTGAGACCCAGACCCACCACAGTTTTCCCTGTGTCACCTGGAGCCACCCGCTTAACCTCTCTGGACCGGAAACCTCACTTTAAAAGAAACAAACCCTAAGCCTGTGGGACCCAGCGATTCCAGTTTCAGTTTATTCAAAGGCACTAATCCCAGTGTGGCCCCAGGCATCTGCTACAGCCTCAATGATTCCAAATTTTGGTACAGAAAAAATGAGATACACTGAGGAGAAGACTAACAGGATACAGTGCAGATGATCCACCTGCCGCCCAAGCATGTGCCTGCATCTGCGGTTCTCAGCCCCAGATCCCACTTTGGGAGTCAGAAGAGATCATGGTAAGCATCATCCGTACAAGTCAATCAGCGTCCAGACAGCTTCATTGTTGAAATGGACAAGGAGGTCCAAAAATTCAGACAGGAATCCAAGGGCCCGGGAGAGCAGAAACAACCTCTGCAAAGAAGAGAAAGCTTTGGGGCTTCTCTTCCTGATTTTGACCTCACTACAAAGCTCCCATCACCCAAACTGTGTTCAAATGACATCAAGACAGACAGGCTGGCATATAAAACCCAGCGTCCGGAAATAAACCTCACGCTACAGCCAGTTGGTGCCGACAGGGGGGCAAGACAACACCACAGGGGACAAACGGCTCGTCAGCAAGTGGCTCTGGGACGAGTGGACACCAGCACAGAAAGGACAGAGCGGGACCCACTCCCACTAAGGGTGCTGAGCACTGCCGGCTAAGTCCTCCCTTCCATGTGGAATCGGCACACTTCTCTCCCACTCTGATAGCGTCTTTGGAAGCTGTGCCCACTAATCCTGATTTGTCACCCTGACTGGGCCAAGGGACACCTGGGAGATTAGTGAGGCAGGCTCCGGGGTGGGTCTGGGTGGAGCACGGTGGCTCCTGGTGCTGTCTGTGTGTCTAACGGGTTCCTCTCTGGTGCTGCCTCCTGCTCCGCGTCCTGGCCCAGGCCCTTCTGCCCTGCTGATTCTGCCAGGGAGCAGCCGACCATGAATTGAATCTCCCAAAACCGTGAACTAAATCAAACCTGTCTTCCTCTAAGTTATGGGTGTCTGGTATTGTGGCTCAACAACAAGAAAGCTGATACTGAAGCCAAAGTTTTTAATTCTCACTAAGTTCATTTTAACTATTTTTTTTTTTTTATTCTGAGGCAAGCATACTGCCACTGAGCTGGATCCCCAGCCCCTATTTTTGTTTTTTATTCTGCCGCTTGCGTGTTCAGCACCCTATCTAAGAATCATTACCCAAATCCAAGGTCACAAAGAGTCATCTGCATGCGACCGTGAGAGCTTCAAAGTTTAGTTGTTAGGTTGAGCAGTACAAACCATAGAGAGCGCTTCCTTGAAGTGAAAAGCTGAGCGTTCTCCACTTAGGGTCAGAAAAAGAATCACACACTGAGGTCATCGGGAAAGAATGCACTGGCTCCCAGGGACACTGAAGGAAGAAGGGATCCCTGTTGGCTTTGCTGTTGTGCTGTCATGGTCACGTGTCCGTTAGAAAGAGCTGGTTCCTCTACACAGGAAGCCAAACTGAGAGCTTTCAAGGGCATACAAGGACACTGACCATCATGCATCCCTGCCACCTTTACAGCCGCTGTCCTCCTAGCTCCCTGGGCTCCAGCCACACTGCCCTTCTCGCTGATCCTCAAAACCCTCCAGGGGTCTGGGGATTTAGCTCGATGGCACCCCACTTGCCTCACAAACACAAGGTCCCGAGTATGATCCTCAGTACCAAAAAAACAAACACACACACACACACCAGGCACACATGGGACCTCAGGACCCTTGCACCTGCTACTGGTGCCACTTTCTTCTCTCAGGTATGATGCAGAGGCCTCCACTCAAATGCTTTGTCCTACCCACCCCACTTAAAACGGGAAAGGGCCTCCACTTCCTGTTCAGTTGTCTTCCAAATACTTATGGCTACCTGGGCACATGTTCACCCGTCCCGTCATGTCTTTTTCTCAGGTGGACTGTCAGTGCTATGAGTGGGGCCTTTGTTTCTCTTAAAGCCACATCCCCTGTGGCTAAGGCAGGAACAGAACCCCAGAGGGGCTCAGACAAACCCCAGAACCGCCGAGGGGCAGCGAGGAAGGTCCTTGGCCTGCAGACCCTGGTGCCGGAGGCCGCCATGCCCAGAGCACCGTGCTCTCAGACCATGCAGGAGAGAGGGTGGTTCTGCTCTGGAGAGGCTGAAGCTAAAGGACAGAAAGATCACGGCTGGATCTCTGGCCTCGTCCCAGCCCAGACTCAAAGACCGCAAGGAGAGTGACACAGGCGAGACTCTGTGAGACGGGCCGCACGGCCAGCTCCGAGACGTGAAGTCACCGTAGCCCAGGTCCCCCGCTGCCCCAGGAGGGAATAGTGGGTTCCCGCGTATGGCAAATCAGCCCGTCCTCTGCTCCCCAGACATCTGTCCTCATCTGCTGCTTCACGAGACTTTTTAAAGATAGCCCCGGTCATTATTTTTAGGCACATGCTTACTTGCGGACCCCAAGTCCTGCAGACAAATGTCTAGGGCATATATTAATTATGTCCCTGCCCAGCAGCCCTCTCATGCGCTTTATGAGCCTGCTTTAACCAGAATAGAAAATCACTCTTCCTTCAGTTCCTCCTGAATTATAATCAGGATCTGCAGGCTGTCTCCCCCAGAGCTATGACAGTTAAGTTTTAATCACTTCCAAACAGAGTCCTGTCCACGGAGCCTTTGGAGGACACAGGGCTGCTCCCAGCAGGCTGGGCAGGGCCACTGGGGACCGGGGCCCGGGGGCGGGTGTCTCCACTTGGCCCCCACAGCACTGGCTGCAGCCCGACCAGGGTTTCCACGCAGCTGATTTTTCTTCCCAGCGCAAAGGGATGAAAATAGCTCTTTTAATTAATTTTATTGGAGCATTCAAGGTGTACAATATAATGACACTCATCGTTGGATATCTGCACCTTTACATAACCCATCTTGGTTGGAAAAAAAAAAATTTCTTTTGGAAGAGCAGGAAGAGCCTTGGCCAATAAACCAGGAAATGGGATGAGAACTTGCTCTCCAGAACAAACGTGTACCCTAGCAGATGCCTTCTTCAGCTGCTTCGGGCACGCAGGAAGTGTCCCGGGGCTACCCCCCACCCACTTCAAAGCACACTGTCCCACCTCTCAGATTCACCCGCCTCCTCCGGCTCAATGACTGTGACTTTGACCCAGAGTCAGAACTAGCCTGAGTTCAGAGGCCAGCCTCAAACAGGGTCCCCAAGAGACCCACCGTTCTGCTCACAGACCACACCCCAGGGGACCGAGAACTAGGGAGATCAAATCAGAGTTCAGGAAACTGCTCTCCTGAGGGTTACTGGTTCACTGTAAAGGAAAATGAGGGCTGGGGATGTAGCTCAGTGCCTGCCTGACAAGCGCAAGGTCCTGAGTTCGATTTCCGGTACCAGGAAAGAAAAAAAATGTAATTAATAAAATAAAGGAAATTGAGTCTAGAAGAGTCAGATGGAAAGAGAGGCCAAGGGCAGGGTGGGTGGGGGCACAGGGCTGCCACATGCTCCCTGGGTACCCGATGTCACCTCACTAGCAGTAAGCCGTGTGTCCCCAAAGGGCTCCTTGTGAATAACTATTCAGGCAATCCTGAGGGTTTTAGGACCTCCGTGCCAGATTTGAAAGCAAAGACCAAATACTGATTTTTTACTATACCACAGCACGAAAGCTGTTCTCTAGCTGAGCACAGGAATCCTTCGAGAATCATTACAAAGACCAAAACAAAAAGACCTAATGCGTCATCTATAAACCGCCCTCTGAACCCTTTGTTTGCAAAGAGCCCATCTGGAAGATGCCAGAGAAAATGACAGCAAGAAGGAACTCAGCAGAGAAGACACCAGGCCCATCTTTCGGGCTCTGGGCCCGCAGAATGCGGGTGCCCGTGTCCAAGCTGGGGGCCAGGCCTGCCCTGCTCATGCTTGGCTGAAGTCCAGGACGTGACCCAGAGCCCCTCATCCCTGATGCCGCTTCTACACGAGAGGCTGTCAGTGGCCACGCCGTTCTCAGGCCCAGCTCAGCCAGAGCCGAGGGCTTCCGGCAGGAGGCAGAGGGCATCCTGAAGTAGGGGGACAGCGCAGAGGAAAAGAGTGGAGAAAGCAAGGAGACCGATCATGCATCACCCTTGAACGGGAGAAGCTCCCGGGGTCCTGACACTGGGGGTGGCGCAGGGACGGGTGGCCACAGCTGCTGAGAGCCATCCATCCCGGCCCAAGCTCTTGGCACTGAAAATACCTGCTTCTGCCCAGAACCTGCCCGGGACTTCGGCGCTGGCCTCTGCTGGCACCAAATCGGGAATGGTCCCCGCCCAAGGGCTGGTGGCCACGCAGCTGCACCCCTAACCCGCCAAGGTGGGTAGCACCCACATGAGAAGCACCCAATCTGTCAAGGCCTCAATAGTACAAAGGGCAGAGTCCAGACTGGGCTTAAACTTGTGATCCTCCTGCCTCAGCCTCCCAGGGTGCTGGGATTACAGGTGTGCACCACCACCCATGAACACTGAGGTGGCAAAAAAGAGTCACTTTTCTTAAGGGCCGTCTTCTGAATAACAAAGTGGGGACTCGGGAGGAAGAATCCGTAATAAAATAACCTAGATGGTTTAAATTGTTAAGAATCAGCATCCCGAGGCTGGGGATACAGTTCAGCGGTAGGGAGCTAACGCTACCATGCCCCGGGTCAGAGCAGTAAAGACACAGACACTGAAGAGAAAGCGGCACAGCCGAGCCTGGGGAAGAGCTGCTCCTCTGCTCCCAGGAAGACGCAGCGCTGCACCCGGCCCCCGTCATCTACAGGTCTTCGGGGGACCAAGCAGCCAGTGGGTGTCGATGCTTCTGGTGTGGCAGACACTGACCCCAAGCCAAGGGGTGCAAAAGCCCCACGGCAAGGCGCTGGCTGCCTGAAGCCCGCCTTGACCCCGCCAGGCCTTCTCCAAGGGAGCAGTGCTCAGCTCTGAGCCAGTCCTGTGGCATGTGCCCTCACTCAGGCTGCGCGTGGCCACTCTGCTACCTCAGCTCCCTCCGCCCTGGACAGCCCTGGCCCCAGGGCAAAGGCCTCGCCTAACAGGGCCACTGCTTGCAAGTCAGACCTCCTCACCTTGACCAGCTCCTTGAATTTGGGGTCCTCCCTGGACGTGGGGTCGATCATCGTGCGCTCCTCGTTCTCCTCTGCCAGGTTAAGGGTCACAGTTAGCGTGTGGGGACGTCGGGGATGCCCGAGACGGGACACGGTGGGAAGCAGACCTGGCCACCGCTGGGTGAGGGTGGACACGGCCAACACGCACCGCACAAGGGCAGGGCCTCTGCTTTTTTTTTTTTTTTTTTTTTTTTT